CATTTTAGACTTAATGAGCTCGTTCAAAACTCTTGAACTCAATAAGTAGTATATCGTAAGAGATAAAAAAATATACGCGTATGTATGTATGTATCTATTTATATATGTGTTGTCCTCTAAATGTGAATTTCGAAACAATTTGGCGGAGTATTTCAACAAGATTTATTTTATTTATTGTAATGTATTTTCAATGTTTGACGTCTGAGGTTCAATAGATGAGCTGGAAAAGCGATAAATGATTGTTCAAACATATAATTTTAAAACATTTCTATAACGATCTGACATATTTTGTATGGGCTCTCGGAAGAAGTTTGTTCTGAGCGGGTATTTGAATTTTGTTATTTCCTCACCAACCAGTGCCCAACTCAATTTTTGAAAAAAAAAAAAAAAAAAATTAATGAAAAAACAGAGGAGTTGCAGCAAATGCATAGCTAATACAATGTTGCTTATAGCCACAGGAAACCCATCTTTAGTAACAACCGGTTCTTATGGCGTCATTTAAAGTTCAGATATATATTATATAGATATTTTTTTAAAATTGCTAAAAACTACAAGAAAACAAGTTTTGTTAAGTTCTACAGCTAACATTTTTCTATGATTTTTACTTAATGCTTGAAATACAATACCGGCGAACGGCAAACTTCGCCGAATTGGGCGATGCTGTCGTTCACCGTGCGCCGAGCTATTTCGTCTACTTAAACAGAATTAGAGCGGTAGCGAAAACAGCTGATCCCATTTGGTCGCCTTTATAATTTGGGTGACCATATTTAGAAAAAACTAAACCATATTTAGAAATGAGGAAATGATAACAAATATAAATGTAAAACAAAGAAAGATTATTATAAATAATTTGTTTCAAGCCAGATTTAACGAATCCACAACTATATTTTTCAAACAACAAAAAAAAATCGTGTTTAGGTTGTTTTCTTTAAAACTTTGAAAGCAAAAAACAAATACGGCCACCTTTGGCACGCACAGCTGTCATCGCCCAGCAGGGCGATAGAAATAAATCTATCGCCATGAAACGCCGCCAAGCGAACTTCGCATTTCGCTTTGGCTGTGTTCAATTTCATATGCTTGCGGGTGTTCTAATTTTGACAGCGCGAATTTCGCTGTGGTGAGTTCGCCGTTCGCCGGCATTGTATTTCAGCTATAAAAACGATTTTCCTTTAATCAATCCTAAAATTAAAACACGTTTAGAGTTAAGAATATGCCTGGTTATCGGGTTACCTAGAAAGTGATAATCTAAACAGTTAACATTAAAACCAGGAAGGTGTAAACACCTACATGTATTACGCTATTTAAAAAAAAAATCTATTTAATTTTTTGTTATCTTGCAGGTCGAACAATTGGAGTCTCAAATACGTGAACTTACACAAAAACTCAGCGAATCGAATGCTAAGCGCGACAAATTTGAAATGGAGCTGAAAGCTTCAATTGACAAAATATTTGTTTTGCGTGAAATTATCACCGAGTTAGAGACACAAGTGGAGACAAAGGCGCTCAATGAACATGTGCTGAGTGAGAAGAATATGGTGAGCCACCATAAAAACATGTAAAAACTAATTTTTGAATATGAATCTCGTTTTTTATTTTATTTAAATTCTAGCAATTGGAAGATTATATAAATACCCAAACACGCTCAAATGAGACGTTACAGCACGAGGTGCATAGTTTGAAATTAGAAATTGGCGAAGGTTATCAGGAGCGTATACGATTTCTAGAGGAGAAATTACAAAACATGCGCCCATCTGCAGAGCAGAGCATTGTGTTAGATCAAGTGGTAGAGCAGGTGAAATAGTGTCCATTTCAATGGAATTCAATTAAATTTTTGTGTTATTTATTTGATTTTATATATTTTTTTAATCTACTACACATCGCTAATGATTAACTTGTTTTCAGCTTCGCGATATTGAGAATATCCTTGACCAGAAAACCAAAAATCTTGAATCAGTGCATCATTCAATATCTTCAAATGCCAATAGCGCTACTGAGGACGTATCTGTAAATGGCGCACGTCCAGCCAACTCATTGCCATCAACAGGTGGAACAAATAATCCATCAATAACCACAGTGCCAACTCTAGGCTCACCGCTACATCCTTCGCCACGTCAACATTCGCTCACCATGGAGGGCGTTCAACGTATTGCCGACAGAGTCGCCAAACATACACGCGTCGAGGAGGCAGCCGTTAAACGTATACGGGATTTGGAAATGCAAGTCACTCAAATACGTGGTTCCTGTGTGGTGAGTTTCAAACTTTTTACTCACGTATTTCCTTCGGCTAGGAAAGCACTTTTGGCGTTAAAAGCTGTTGTAATTGAAAACTTAAAAACCATGTTAAGTGTACGTGTGTACATATTAGGAATGTTAATCTCGAAAATCACGGGATTATTGGCAAGTAATCCCGGGATTTTCGGGATTTCTAATTTGCACTGATGGCAATAATAGAAACTCCTTTTCTTGACCAGAATTGGCTATATTTCTTTTTTTTATTTAATAATTAATATTTTTTTTAGAAATGTCTAGCTCATTATGCATACAACACCGCGTGATAGTAAATTTTAAACACAAATTTCAATATATTCGCTAAACCATGGGACAAATATAGTAAAATTGCGTTTTTAGTTGTTCACTCTGACGTCAGTAATTCAGAGAAATGTGCTTAGAGAAGAAGTATGGGTATAAAATTAATAAGGAAATCCTGTAGAATTTAAACAGATTCAAGTTTCTGGCAGTGATCGGACTTCTACAAGGTCTGAAATCTACCACATATTCACGTTTTTGAGTACCTAGTTTTATATTTGCTCGACATAATTTTCTTAATTTTAAGAGCAAAAATTGTCCAACACAAAAAACTATATGGTCGCAAGAATGATATAATACAAGATTCCGCATCCCCGGCGGCGATGAAATTTCTCAAATAAAAGTAAACAAAGCCGAATGGGAAGATATAATAAACTGTAAAATAGTAAATTTTCTCAATAATATATTTTTGGACAGTAAACGTGGTTTTGTTACGTTAAATTTTCAAATATATGATTTATAAAAAAAAAATAATAGCGAAAATTTATAAAAAACGGCGATTTTTGCGAAAGTTTTAGCAAATTTCAGTGAATCTAAAGTTTCTGAAGCGTTGTTTACATTTACTTGAGAATTGTCAAAATCGGAAAATCACAAGTAGCGGTTTCTGTAACGTGCCACATTTGTTCGCTACATCGTGATGTGATAGAATGAAACGCTGGCAGCACTCCGCAAGATTGCAAAAAAATTTATGTTCGAAAAATATTATGATATGGAAGGAACCGCATTACACTGTCAAGGAAAAAATTGCCAAAACTCAATGCAATTTTTAGCAACTTCAATCNATCCATCAATAACCACAGTGCCAACTCTAGGCTCACCGCTACATCCTTCGCCACGTCAACATTCGCTCACCATGGAGGGCGTTCAACGTATTGCCGACAGAGTCGCCAAACATACACGCGTCGAGGAGGCAGCCGTTAAACGTATACGGGATTTGGAAATGCAAGTCACTCAAATACGTGGTTCCTGTGTGGTGAGTTTCAAACTTTTTACTCACGTATTTCCTTCGGCTAGGAAAGCACTTTTGGCGTTAAAAGCTGTTGTAATTGAAAACTTAAAAACCATGTTAAGTGTACGTGTGTACATATTAGGAATGTTAATCTCGAAAATCACGGGATTATTGGCAAGTAATCCCGGGATTTTCGGGATTTCTAATTTGCACTGATGGCAATAATAGAAACTCCTTTTCTTGACCAGAATTGGCTATATTTCTTTTTTTTATTTAATAATTAATATTTTTTTTAGAAATGTCTAGCTCATTATGCATACAACACCGCGTGATAGTAAATTTTAAACACAAATTTCAATATATTCGCTAAACCATGGGACAAATATAGTAAAATTGCGTTTTTAGTTGTTCACTCTGGCGTCAGTAATTCAGAGAAATGTGCTTAGAGAAGAAGTATGGGTATAAAATTAATAAGGAAATCCTGTAGAATTGAAACAGATTCAAGTTTCTGGCAGTGATCGGACTTCTACAAGGTCTGAAATCTACCACATATTCACGTTTTTGAGTACCTAGTTTTATATTTGCTCGACATAATTTTCTTAATTTTAAGAGCAAAAATTGTCCAACACAAAAAACTATATGGTCGCAAGAATGATATAATACAAGATTCCGCATCCCCGGCGGCGATGAAATTTCTCAAATAAAAGTAAACAAAGCCGAATGGGAAGATATAATAAACTGTAAAATAGTAAATTTTCTCAATAATATATTTTTGGACAGTAAACGTGGTTTTGTTACGTTAAATTTTCAAATATATGATTTATAAAAAAAAAATAATAGCGAAAATTTATAAAAAACGGCGATTTTTGCGAAAGTTTTAGCAAATTTCAGTGAATCTAAAGTTTCTGAAGCGTTGTTTACATTTACTTGAGAATTGTCAAAATCGGAAAATCACAAGTAGCGGTTTCTGTAACGTGCCACATTTGTTCGCTACATCGTGATGTGATAGAATGAAACGCTGGCAGCACTCCGCAAGATTGCAAAAAAATTTATGTTCGAAAAATATTATGATATGGAAGGAACCGCATTACACTGTCAAGGAAAAAATTGCCAAAACTCAATGCAATTTTTAGCAACTTCAATCTAGCACTTTGTTATACTAAAATTATATTTTTTTGAAATCTACCACATTTTTTCCAGATGCTACCACACAGAATTTTTTCAAGTCCGATCACTGGTTTCTGGTAAAGAAGGGCTGGTAAATATTGAAAATGTAATTTTAAAATTTCATCCTTGAAATTTCGCAGTATTTGTTTTTGAAAAAATTATACGTTAAGGGCTTATATAAACTTGATCACATCCTCGAATTTCGTTCTTCAAACTTTGTCAGCATACAAATTACGTATTCGTCCTTGTGAATCCAAAAAATTTAAATTTTTTAAATTCTAAAGAAATTTCCTATTGCATACCTATTGCATTTCCTATTGTTACCCATATTTTTATTCTACATTGCATTGAATTATTTTAATAATTTTTGGAATTAATCATATCTTTGAAATTACAAAGTCCTTTAAAATAAATCCTTTGGTCAGAGAGAAAAAATAAAAACGCCACTTTAAATAAAAAAGTAGGGTCAAACCCATTTATTTATTATTTATTTCATGGCAGGAGAGCTTATCAAACAATATAGAAGCAATTTTTTCGATTCGAGTTCTTGAAAAGTAATGTCTAATGTAAATATCTAAATCCCGGGATCCCGGGGTTGTGACAACGCCATCCCGAAAATCCCGGGATCGGAAAACGCCGAAAAATTAACATCCCTAGTACATATACATATGTACCTATAGATATATTTATGCGATCTGTGGAATGAAAGTGAAAGCGAAATTCTGCTTGCATATACATACTTATTCCTTTTCAGAATCCACCTCATAAATGAGCATCTGATTGTGTGCTCTCCCAGCTTCTGGAAAAGTGGCCAATATGTTTTTTTTTTAATTATTTTGGCATTATTTGAGTACACTTGCCTCAGACTATCTACTTCGATAGCAGTGTAAATGTAGGAGGGTGGGTATAGTATTGTTGTATTCGCACTGTTGTTGAGTATACTCGCGCTCATCGGCTGCTGCGGCTTGCATACCGTGGACCATCGGCGATAGCTGGCAACTGCGTGCGCGCAATTTAGTTTGCTCGCTGTTGTGATGAGGTGAAGGCGTCTGTTTAAGTAAATCTTATTGTTGTGTATTTGAATTGTTATTGAAGCTTTTCTATGCACCCACAGTATTGCTCTTACAACTTTAACGGATTTCATCAATTAAGAATCGCAAACGTTTCTTATTCGATGAAATGAATTATTAACAAAAAAAAATCGCATTGAATTGGAATACGTTAATAAAAGCCTGCCAAGCGAAGTTCAATCAGTATACCAAAGGCGTTGTTGCTTTCAGATTCAGTCCGATGAGGGTAAGCTTATGTTTGAAAACAAAGAACAATTGATGATTATAACAGCTAAAATAATTTATTTTCTAAAGGAAATTGAATATTTCAAAACAAACTACGCAAATTGAGTCTCGTCAAAAATTGGCAATATCAGTCGTTTTTAGCTTTCTCAGAACCATCTGAATTTTGAGTAGTTTATGATACGCCCGTGTGGTTTGCTTTTGCTTAGCTTTCAGTAGTAAAAGTACATATGTATGTATGTATCTGTCGACCCCATATATGTAATACTTCTATATTGATAGTAACGTATGTATCTTCACAATGTGTTTTTATTCCGCAATGAAAGGGAGACAGCCTATCAAATAAGTTTTTGCTAGTGTTAGTACAAATGTATATTTGTGAACTACTACTAGAAAACAACTGTCATCACTCCAGGAGCGGTTTAAATAAAAAAAATAATAAATAAATAAAAATAAACGACCAAAATTTTATCCTTGAAAGGGAGAGGTGCAAGCTTTGTGGTAGCCGGCGGATATAAAAGTAACACTTGAGGTAATCAGCGTAACCACTCTTAAAAGATATACTGTGAGGTTGCGTGCTTTCCGTTCCAACGCCTTGGCCAAGATGTAGCGTCTGCCCGTTTTCCCCGATACGGCTCATTTTCAAGTAGTACAAAATACTGATGCGTGCAATAAGATTTCATTTTCCTTACTTGTTTTGCTTGTGCAAACCGCACAACTCCGCACTATTTTATTGTTTTGCTTTTAAAATTAAAATTTAATTTTGTAAAATATTGACTATTTTATATTACTGCACCGCTCCTGATTTTTTATTGTTTTTAAACGTCATTGTGGGTACATTGGCTGGTTGGTTTTCTCGTTCTAACGTTATATATCTGTACTCTAATGTTGGCGGATGTACTTTGAACCGTCCGAAAACATTCCCACC